CCCCCTCCTTGCCTCGAACGAAACCCGCCACATACCACCTCCACTCCCACCTTCCACATTTAAGCTGCCGCCATCCGCCTTGGGGCAGCCCTACCTGCCATCAGGAGATACATTTTTTGCAGCTCGCGTATTTCATGAGCAGAGCTGAGTTATTGTAAATGCCGAATCGCCTTCCAAGGCTGCGGCCGTCTTCGCCCCTCTATGTAACAGCTTTCTCAGCTCTACAAAGCTTGGCTTTTTCGACAGTGTTTTACGTCGCATCGTGGAAGTCTGGTGTTATGGAGCACTCCTGCTGGTGTTCGGAGCGACCTAAAGGAGACGAGAGAAAGAAGCATCCCGAGGAGGACGGTTTCGATGACGAAAAAGGGCGATTCAATGGGATGTGAGTTCGCAGGAGGTATGAGTCGCTAGCCTGAAGAGGATGCACAAGGAACTCAGTCCATTTGAGCTAGGAAGCTGAAATTTTCTGAAGATATGAAAATGTGTGCGAGTCCAAGCGGTCTCACCACAGCACGAAATCATGCAAAAAATCTCAGCAGCAAGCCTGGTGCCCGCTGCGTTGCCCTTTGGTTCTCATATTTGGTGAATTCCTATAGCTGTGTTTCATTTGTATGTGTTGTTGTGAGATGTGCCCAGCGGGCAAATTCACTAACTGCACAGCAATTCATCCCTTGTCCTTGTCTGTGTCAAATCCCCAAACCAGTTCCTCGCACTGACAGACCACACATATTTCTAGTGTACTGAGAAGACGATGTTACTTTCATCTCTACCGTCTTGTCAAAAATGAATGACAGGATGTCCGACGCCTTTCAGTGAACAAAATTATAGGAATTTAATGGGCAGGCAACTTCAAAACATCATTTTTGGTGGTTTTGAAAGAAGCAACGGCTAGTTGTGCAGAAGCAACAACACTGATTGCCTATTCTTACGAAAAGATAGCTGGAATGGTTCCTAGCAACAGACAAAAATAATGGGCTCAGTTAGTTTAACAGCGCCTTTCGTCATCCATAAGGCCTAGGAATTCTAGCTAAGGGTCATCTATTCTCTAATAAATTTACGTCACTGTAAGAGTCTCAGAAACCTCGTCAAAAAAAAGATGAACGACCGCAGGCTTCAGGTCATTGTCAAAGCTGGATGACTTTCACTGATGCCAGACACTGGTTAAAACAGCAGTTGACTTTT